GTCTGGAAATGCATCTTCACCGACAGCCAGTGGGGGGGGGGGTGGGGGGGTAGTTGGACTTCCCTGCTGCAGGGAGGAGGCAGGCACCTCGGGGCCCCCGATTGTCTGTGCTGCTCCGTGCGCCGCCGGGGCAGGTCTCCGCTGGGACAGGCCTCGGGGCTTTTCTGGGAGAACCGAGGAAGCCGGCTGATTCAGATTTCCTCCAGCGCCTGCCGTCTGCGGCCGGCCTTATTAGGAAGGCTGGGCTGGTGCAGAGAGAGGGTGAGGTAAAAGGCGCCAAGAAGCCAGGCTTTGTCACCCTGGACATCCCCCATCCTGGGCCTTACACTGCGCGTCCGGAGAACATGAGGGACAGGAAGTCTGTCCGTGAGGGGCCTGGCGAGGGACAGCCACCGCGCTCCCTCTGGCCACCAAGGAGGCCCAGCCCTCCTGTCCGCCCGGTGCAGCAGGGCTGGGGCACCCAGAGGGACCGTGGAGCAGCCCAGCAGGACTGTCCCCACCCTCGGCGGGGAAGGGGGGTGAGGGAACCCCGAGGGCGCCAGCATGGGGGAGAGCCGCTGGTAAGGGCGCTGGGAAACCAATACCAGACCGCTCTCCTGCTGTGGGCCAGGCCCGGCGAGCAGCCAGAGAGCAGGGGCCCATCAGTGAAACCACTCGGGCCAGCCGAGAATCGAGGGGGGGGGGGGGTTACAGGTAGGCGCGCAGACAGACAGGAGCCAAGCAAGGGCCACGGCGGGTGCAGAAGGTCACTGGGGCAGAAGCCTGGGCACCTCGAAAAACACCACTGTTGGGGACCTCGCCCCAGGGGGAGTCTTCCTCCCCTAGCAGATCGCTGGGCCTGCGTGTGGGCCCCTGGCCTTTCCTCCCACCATAACATCCAGCCCGAAAAGCGGCAAACCCAGACAAGCACTGCCAGGGCTGCCCTCGGGGCCAGCTGCCCTGAATGCTGACCCTGCCCCCTGCCCTGGCACCAGCCCAGCCGCGGAGACCAGGCCCTGAAGGGCACACTGGAAAACTGCCGGACAGTCTATGACTGCTAAAAGGCGATGAAAACTGCCCCGTGGGACCCCCACCCTTAAAGCACAGGACCCAGGACCAGCGAGCCCTCCTTCCATTCCCCTCCTGCTCTGCCTCCCCCAGGCCCATCCCCTGGACCCTCCTCACCTCTGAGCTCCGAGGGCCCTCCCTTTCCCTCCACAATGTGTTTCCTAAGCCCGTGTTTATTTCCTGCAAAACACTCCTTCTACCTCTGTACTTCCCACACAGATGTCCTCTGAAGGTGTGAGGCTGGGCTCTGAGTTCTTTCCCGGCCAGAACCCAAGGACCAAGGCTGCGGGACCAGGTCCAGCCTCACTCTGCGGTCTGACCCTGGTGCCATGCCCGCCGCAGCCAACAGTCAGACCCTGCGGAGGCGCCGGAGAGGCCGACGGAGGACTCATCCAGAGAGAATAAACCGGATCTGCCTGGGCATGGCCAGGGCTGCGGGCAGCGTGTCCCCCCCCCCCCCGTGACCCCGCCCTCTTCCAAAGGCTGACCTTGGGCCCAGGGGGAGAGGGTGCCCCTCATTCATTCATTCACACACACTGCCCCTCATTCATTCATTCATTCACACACACTGCCCCTCATTCATTCATTCATTCACACACTGCCCCTCATTCATACATTCATTCACACACACACACACACACACTGCCCCTCATTCACTCATTCATTCATTCACACACACACACTGCCCCTCATTCATTCATTCATTCATTCATTGACACACATACACACACACTGCCCCTCATTCATTCATTCACACACACACTGCCCCTCATTTATTCATTCACACACACACACTGCCCCTCATTCATTCATTCTTTCACACACACACGCACTGCCCCTCATTCATACATTCATTCACACACACACACACACACACTGCCCCTCATTCATTCATTCATTCACACACATACACACACTGCCCCTCATTCATTCATTCACACACACACTGCCCCTCATTCATTCATTCATTCACACGCACTGCCCCTAATTCATTCATTTATTCACACACACACACACACACGCACTGCCCCTCATTCATTCACACACATACACACACACTGCCTCTCATTCATTCATTCATTCACACACACTGCCCCTCATTCATTCATTCACACACGTACTGCCCCTCATTCATTCATTCATTCACACACATACACACACGCTGCCCCTCATTCATTCATTCACACACACACTGCCCCTCATTCATTCATTCATTCATTCACACACACACACTGCCCCTCATTCATTCATTCATACACACACACACACTGCCCCTCATTCATTCATTCATTCATTCACACACACACACATACGCACTGCCCCTCATTCATTCACACACATACACTGCCCCTTATTCATTCACACACACACACACATACACACACACACACACACTGCCCCTCATTCACTCATTCATTCATTCACACACATACACACACACTGCCCCTCATTCATTCATTCACACACACACTGCCCCTCATTTATTCATTCACACACACACACTGCCCCTCATTCATTCATTCATTCACACACACACACGCACTGCCCCTCATTCATACATTCATTCACACACACACACACACACACTGCCCCTCATTCACTCATTCATTCATTCACACACACACACACACTGCCCCTCATTCATTCATTCATTCATTCATTGACACACATACACACACACTGCCCCTCATTCATTCATTCACACACACACTGCCCCTCATTTATTCATTCACACACACACTGCCCCTCATTCATTCATTCATTCACACACACACGCACTGCCCCTCATTCATACATTCATTCACACACACACACACACACACTGCCCCTCATTCACTCATTCATTCATTCACACACACACACACTGCCCCTCATTCATTCATTCATTCACACACATACACACACTGCCCCTCATTCATTCATTCACACACACACTGCCCCTCATTCATTCATTCATTCACACGCACTGCCCCTAATTCATTCATTCATTCACACACACACACGCACTGCCCCTCATTCATTCATTCACACACATACACACACTGCCTCTCATTCATTCATTCATTCATTCACACACACTGCCCCTCATTCATTCATTCATTCACACACGTACTGCCCCTCATTCATTCATTCATTCACACACATACACACACGCTGCCCCTCATTCATTCATTCACACACACACTGCCCCTCATTCATTCATTCACACACACACACTGCCCCTCATTCATTCATTCATACACACACACACTGCCCCTCATTCATTCATTCATTCATTCACACACACACATACACACTGCCCCTCATTCATTCACACACATACACTGCCCCTTATTCATTCACACACACACACACACACATACAAACACTGCCCCTCATTCATACATTCATTCACCACACTGCCCCTCATTATTCTCACACATACACTGCCCCTTATTCATTCACACACACACACACACACAAACACTGCCCCTCATTCATTCATTCACTCACACACACACACACATTGCCCCTCATTCATTCACACACACACACACACACACACACACACACACACACACTGGCCGCTCATTCATTCATTCATTCATTCACACACACACACTGCCCCTCATTCCTTCATTCACACACACACTGCCCCTCATTCATTCATTCATTCATTCACACACTGCCCCTCATTCATACATTCATTCACACACACTGCCCCTCATTCATTCACTCACACACACACACACACACACACACTGCCCCTCTTTCATTCATTCATTCACACACACACTGCCCCTCATTCCTTCATTCACACACACACACACACTGCCCCTCATTCCTTCATTCACACACACACACACACACACACACTGGCCGCTCATTCATTCATTCATTCATTCACACACACACACTGCCCCTCATTCATTCATTCACACCTTCACACACACACACACACTGCCCCTCATTCATTCATTCACACACACACTGCCCCTCATTCATTCACACACAGGCACTGCCCCTCATTCATTCATTCATTCATTCACACACTGCCCCTCATTCATTCATTCACACATTCACACACACACACACAGACACACACACACTGGCTGCTCATTCATTCACACACACACACACACACTACCCCTCATTCATTCATTCACACCTTCACACACACACACACACACACACCCCTTACCCTGCCTCGCACTACTGTGGCGGTTATTTTGTTTTGCTTGCCGGGTTTTCCTCCCCCGCCTCCCCCTCGCACCTGTAAGCCGGAAGAAGCCCCCGCCCCGCCGCCCCGGACCCCTGGGCTCGGCAGGTCTGTCAGTGTCACACACTGCGCATCCCTCTGACTCCCATGCGCTCTGGCCGGCTCGTCCGGGTGGGCAGCACCCGGGCCCTTTCAGAGACGGAGGAGCGGACCAGAGGTCAGCGCCCGCCCGGGCCGCAGGGCCGGACTCTGACCGGGCAGCCCGGCCGCTCCCCCGGGCGCTGGGCCGCGGCCCCGGGAGCCGGGAGCCGCTGAGCGCCGCGACCCGGCGTCCTCCCTCGGCGGGGCCCCCGACCCTCCCGGCCGCGGCGGGGGCGGGACAAAGGCCGGAGGCCGGACGCGGGCGGCCGCCAGGGCGGGCTGGGCCTTTTAAGCGGCGGCGGCGGGGGGCGGAGCGGGGGGCGGGCCGGACCGGGGTGGGGGGAGGTCGAGGGGGGGGGCCGGGCCGGGGCGGGCGGCGGGAGGCGGGCCGGGGGGGCGGGGCTCGGGGGCGGGAGGGGGCGGGGCGCGGGGGGCGGGCCGGGCCGGCGGAGGCGGGCGGAGTCAGGGCGGCGGCGGGACTCGTGCTCGGCCGGGCTCCGCTCCGCGCTCGGCCCCTGGCTCCCGGCCCCCGGCTCCCGGCTCCCGGCTCCCGGCTCCGGCTCCGGCTCCCGACCCGCGGCGGCGCCCCCCCCCCCCCCGGCCCGGAGCAGCCATGCCGCCGCGGCGCAGCATCGTGGAGGTGAAGGTGCTGGACGTGCAGAAGCGGCGGGTGCCCAACAAGCATTATGTGAGTGCGCCGCCCGCCTCCGAGCCCGGCCGGGCCGTGCCCCCGGGAGCCCCCTCTCCCCCCCTCCCCCTTTTCCACCCTCCCCCCCCTTCCCCCCCTTCCCCCCACCCTCCCCGAGTGCGGTGCCCGCTCCCCCCCGCCCGCCGCCCGCCGCCCGCCGCCCGCCGCCCGGGCCCTGCGCCTCCCTCCCCTCCCCCGCCTCTGCCGGTCCGCGTCCGCCTCCCCTCCTCCCCCCTGGCCCCGGGCCGCTTCTCTCACCCTGTCCACCACCCCCGGCCCCCTGCATCTCCCCCCGACCCCCTCCACCTCCCCCGCCCCCCTCCACCCCCTCCAACCCCCCCGCCCCCTCCACCTCCCCCCACCCCCCATCTCCCCCCGCCCCGATCCACCTCCCCCCGGCCCCCTGCATCTCCCCCCGACCCCCTCCACCTCCCCCGCCCCCCTCCACCCCCTCCAACCCCCCCGCCCCCTCCACCTCCCCCCACCCCCCATCTCCCCCCGCCCCGATCCACCTCCCCCCGGCCCCCTGCATCTCCCCCCGGCCCCCTGCATCTCCCCCCGACCCCCTCCACCTCCCCCGCCCCCCTCCACCCCCTCCAACCCCCCCGCCCCCTCCACCTCCCCCCACCCCCCATCTCCCCCCGCCCCCATCCACCTCCCCCCGGCCCCCTGCATCTCCCCCCGGCCCCCTGCATCTCCCCCCGCCCCCCTGCATCTCCCCCCGCCCCCCTGCATCTCCCCCGCCCCCTCCACCTCCCCCCACCCCCCTCCGCCTCCTCCGGTCCCCTCTACCTCCCCCGGCCCCCCTCCATCTTCCCCCACCCCCCCTCCACCTCCCCCGGCCCCCCTCCATCTCCCCCCGACCCCCCTCCACTCAGTCCTGCCTGGCCTCAGCCGATGGAGGGACAGAGGGAGAGGCGCTGGCCTCGGGCCCTCCTGGTCTGCAGGCTCCCGGACCGCAGGGACCAGCCACAGGTACCCCTCCCCGCATCGCCAGGTCCTGCTGCGCCCTTTCGGGGGAGACAGCAGGGGGGAGAGGCCTGCACCCTAAGAAAATTGAAAAAGAAAACAGCCCCTGCCCCCCCCCCCCCCAGTAACTTCTGTGTTAAAGTGTACAAAGTGTCCTCCTGTGTCTCCCTCTGCAACGGGACTCTTGCTTAGGGCTGGCGAGGACTTGGGGGAATGGGCCATTAGGCCCATTCTGCAGATGGGAAGGCTGAGGCTCTGAGAGGCCACAGGTTCTGGAAGGTGGCGCTGGATTCAGGTCTTCCCGGCCGCTGGGAGGTGCCTGGGCAGACAGTGGCCAGTGGGGGGGAATGGCTTTCCCACCAGCCTGGGGGCTGGATCTGGGGGGGCGGGGGTCCGAGGGGCCCTGGGACCGCCCAGAGGTTTGGGGTGGGGGGCTGTGGGAGGCTGCCCCGTTGGAAAGCAGGGGGCTGTGTGTCTGGAAGGGGCCGTGGCAGCGGCTGCCCCGGAGTTCACCAGGAAGGAAAAAAGAGGGAGAGGGAGAGGGAGGGAAAAACCCAAACAAAGAGGAGGCGAACAATGAGTAGCAGAGGGTGTTGGCTGGCCAGATCGGCTCCCTGGCCTCCCGGAGAGCCAGGCCGTTGTGTGCTCCGAGGCCCCGAGGCCCGTGCCTGCACCGCGATCGGCGTGCCCCCGCGGGCCGTGACGGGCGAGCGGAGACCGCGGGCCCTGCGGGAAGGCTGTGCCCTGTGTCTGTACTGTCATTGGCCGGGCCGCTGGCTGTCCAGCCCCCGCCAGGCGGCGGGAAGCTACTTCCTGGGCCTGAGGCGTCTTTAAAGGGAGGAAAGTTTCTCCGGAGCCCAGCACTGAGCCGCACGGCCTGCGTCCCCCGCCCCCTCGCTGGGGCTGCCAAACCCGGGGTTTCTTGTTGGAGCCTGTCACGTGCATAACCCGCCTGGCGCTCTGCTAGGCGACCGACTCGCCAACATGGCAGCAGGCGGAGGTCGGAGGTGCCCCATGCCGCCTCCCACCGGACCCGGGAGCCGGCAAAACCAGGACAAACGGCCACCGAGCCCGGGCACCGGCGGCCACGCACTCCCTCCCGCCCTTCCCCGTCACGTCCTGTCAGACAGAGGCCCTGGAGCCCTGTTACAGATGGGGAAACTGAGGCTCGGAGCGGTGAGGACCTGTGCCTGAGCTCACAGACAGATCCAGGTCTGCCGGGCCCCAGGGGGATATTCCACCGGGTGGCACCGCCTCCCAGACCCCTCGCCCTCCGCGTTCCCCGAGGCCCAGTCCCCGAAAACGCCGGGAAGTCTGCCACCGCCTGTGACCACCCCGAGGCTTTCCGTCTCTGCTTAGTCAGAGCCCTTCCTGCCAGGTTTTTTTTTGTGGTTTTTTTTTGAGGGTTCTGCAGCTTTGAGGCGTCTTTCTAAGCTTTCACCACTGTTCAGGGGCATCTCAGGACAAGCCTCTAAATGTTCACACGCGGGTCTGGGTTCCAGTCTTGGTCTTGCAGCTTGCTAGCTGTGTGGCCTCCCAGCGCCTCAGTTTCCTCCCCTATCAGCTGGGTGTGTGTGGGGGGGAGAAGGGGGTTTGAGGGTGCCCGCTTCCTAGCGGGAGGGACCGTGTGACTGGCACGGCTGGCTCCGTAACACGCAGATGCCTGCCTCCCGGCCCCGTGGTGTCCGTGTCACCCTGATTGGAAACACGCTAAAGTCACATGGGGAGCCTGTTTCTCGGTGTGTGAACCGGGGTTAGTCACGCTGTGATTCAGGTGGCCTCCCTCCCTCTGTGCCAGCTCCCGGCTCCTCGGAAGATGGCTGAGCCGGTCTGAGTCGCCCCCAGGAACCGGGCAGATCCTGCCCCGCCCCCTCTCCTGTTCTCGGCCATCCCCACCCCACCGCCCCAGGAGGAGTGGGTGTGGAGGCAGCGGGGGGCCTGGGTCCTCACTTCCCTTCCATCCGGGAGCTCCTGTCCGAGCCCGGCCGGCCGCCCGGAGAGCTGTGAGCGGGCGCTGAGCGGTCCTGGGCTCGCTGCCGCCTGCAGGTGACCTTGGGCCGGTGCACATCCCTTCCTCGGCCCCGTCGCCTGTGATCTGTACGTTGTACGCACGGCCACTCGCCTCGAGGGCAGAATGTCTCAACCCCACGCTGCTGCCTGCGGACCAGGTGGTGGTTTGCTGTGCGGCCGTCCTGTGCGCTGTGGGGTCAGAACCGACAGTCGCTGGGACCGGGCTGCCTCTCTGCGTGAGCCCGTTCGGCAGAGACGGGTGGGATCGTTGTGAGCGTGTATTCCGATACGCCGACAGCGTGGGGGAGCAGTGGGTCACCCAGAAACGCCTGCTCCGCCCCCCACCAGGAGCCAGCTGCTGATCCTGGGCAGAAGGACAAACACCTCTGTCCCGTGGGGCAGGGTGTGCCACGTGGGCTGTGTATAGGTGACGGGGGTTGGAGACCTGCCGTGGCCGGCAGGTATGCAAGGGCTAGAGGTCTGCACAGGGCTGGCGGCTCTGGAGTCTGCACCAGGGTTGTCCATCGGTCCACCCTAACAGGCAGCTCCCTGAGGGGGGGTGGGCTGCATGTCCAGGTGAGCCCCCAGGTCCCAGCCGGGCCAGAATGTGCCTTTTTCACCGGAACAGAGCAGTCGCGGTGAACAGGGCCTGGTTAACGCTGCTCACAGTTACAGCGGGTCCCAGGGTCCTGTTTCTGCCCCTCTCGGATGTGCGGTAGCATTTCTGGCTTCTACCCACTAGATGGTAGGGCGTCCCCCTCCCCAGCTGGGACAACCAGAAATGTGTCCAGGAGACATGCTCCCCGGGGGTCCAAACCACACTCATCCCCCCCTCCAGCCGCTGCATGAGAGCACACCGCTCAGCCAGGGAGCACTCCCGTCTCCAAGACCCTCCGTCCCCTCCAGCCCGTCCCCTCCAGCCACCTCCTGCTCATCCCTGTCGCCTGGGCGGGGACAGGTGCTGGAGACAATCCCCGGGGAGCTGCACCTGGAGCATGGGGCCGCCCACCAGGCTGGGCCGCCTCCTGCTGCAGTGGCTTCTCTCCCATGATCGGGTGGCCTCCATCCCGTACCCTGCCCCAGCCTCGTTCGCCTGTGGGCAGCGCCACGGGCCAGGCCCGAAGATCGCAGGGGCCTCTGAGATCCCAGAGGTTGGATAGCGGTTACTCTTGGTGATAAAATCAATGATATTATGGGGTGGGGGGGCTTCCCAGAGTTGCTGCCTTTCTCTGCCGGCACCTTTCCTGCCCAGAGCTGGGCTCTGCCAGTGTTTCTCCCGCCCCCTCACCATAGAGAACCTCCCGGCTGGGTTACCGTCTGGCCTGAGGGGAGGGGGATGCGCCCCCTGTGGGTTTGGCGGGTGTATTTGATTGCCCCATTTCCGGCACTGGCCTGGGGTAGCCAAGCCTTGGGGTTGGAAGAGGCTTAGTCATCAGGGCCCCAGGTGCTGGCTTGCTCTGTCAGGAGTTCCCTAGGTCCGTGGTCGGCAAAGTGCGGCTCAAGAGCCACATGCAGCTCTTTGGCCCCTTGAGTGTGGCTCTTCCACAAAATACCACGGCCTGGGCGAGTCTATTTTGAAGAAGCGGCGTTTGCCGAAACCCGTTTGGCTCAGTGTATAGAGTGTCGGTCTGTGGACTGAAAGGTTCCAGGTTCGATTCCGGTCAAGGGCATGTACCTTGGTTGTAGGCACACCCCCGGTAGGGTGTGTGCAAGAGGCAGCTAATCAATGTCTCTAACTTTCTGTCTCTCTCCCTTCCTCTCTGTAAACAATCAATGAAATTAAAGATTAAAAAAAGAAGTGGCGTTAGAAGAAGTGTAAGTTGAAAAAATCTGGCTCTCGAGAGAAATTTCAATCGTTGTCCTGTTGATATTTGGCTCCGTGGACTGATGAGCCTGCCGACCACGGGCCTAGGTGTTAAGAAGAGCATGGTGGCCCCACCTGTGGGGCCCCTCTGTGGAGCTCCGACCCAGCAACCAGGAGGTCACCGGTTCACTTCCGGGTTTGGGCATGTGCGGGCTCC